TTTTTTTCTACCTTCATTTACTAATGTATAATACCTGCTCTCAGTCTATTCTTCTTTCACTTTGTCTATTCCCTGCCTTCCCTGAATTGTACCCATGGCCAGGGAACCATACAGCAAAAAACTAGAGAACAATAAAGCTAAATGGAGACCAAGAGTGGAATTCATTATTAATACAAGGTATATAAAGAAAAAACTGAATATTAACTACTAACATCTGTATGATTGACAATTTACAAAGTATCATACCTCCCATTACCTTATTTGATCTTTATAACACTGTGAGAACATCTAAGAAGGTACTATTATCCCAGGTTTATACAGAAGGTTAACTAATGCTTAGAGAGTTCAAAGAACTTCCCCAACATCCCATATAAACAAATGGTGAAGTCAGGACTCATTCCTTATAATGCTTATCATATAGGTTAATTTGTGTTTTTCCACACTATTGTGATATGTTGATGGGCTTAAGTAAGCATCACTGCAATTTTAACCTATTCAGTCAATTTCAACCACTTACAATTTAAAAGCTGTCCACTTTCTTTAATTCAAAATTCCTCTCCTTGCAAATATTTAAGACCATGTATTATCAAAATTAAACCTGACTCCAAAACAGAAACTTAATTCTACATCACCGCCAAGTGACAAGGCAACTTCATGGTCTGCAAAACCAAAACACCATTTAAAAAGCCGTAATCTGAGAACTTTGCTCAGGAAGCTATAAAGTAGCATTTACTTTTGCCATCAAATGACTAGTTAGTGCCCAGCCCTGGAAACTCCCATGACAGAACCTATTTTTTTTTTTTTTGGTACCGGAGATCGAACTCGGGTCCTTGGACTTGTGAGGCAGTCGACAGAACCACCGGGTTAAATCCCCGGCCCTACAGAACCTATTTTCTATCCCTTCCACAAGCCTACGCTCCCTGCTTTTTCATCACTGTTTAGTTAAGGAACTTTAGTTGATTCTACCTAAAGCAATCTATCTCAAACATCCTCTCATACCCTTTCTCCTCTCGTTTTACTTTCTAAGAGAATTCTCTCTATTCCGTAAACTAGAAATGACACATATACTATGTAAGCTAACAATCTGATTAAATTAAGACAAAACAGCCCTCTGCAAAATCTATGTAGATGCTGATAGTTTTACATTAAGAGATGAAAGTTGACACATTTGCAGGGGCCCTGTGATGCACAAAATAATGCCTTAAATCTTTAAACCTACTTATTTCCTACTCCCTCTCCCAAATTTAACCCCTTATTTCCTCAAATAAAATAAATGAAAGAAATTTTATACAGTATACATACAGTGAGTGTACTAGTAAAGAAACCATTCGTTATCATTATCTATGGCAAAATGGTCATCAAACTTTGAAACAAAGGGCAGTAGGTATACATGTAGCTCAGTGACAGAAAGCTTCCCTAGCATATGACAAAGACTCTGGGTTCAATTCCCAACTGCGAGAAAAATAAGCAAAGACATGAAGACACTTTTCTCAAAAGAAGACTTAAGGTCAACAGGTAAATGGGAAACTGCGCACCATTAGGAAAATGCAAATAAATATCACAATGAAATGTTACTTGACACCTGTTAGAGTGGCTATTTTCAAGAAGATGAAAGACAACAATATTGCCATGGGGAGAAAAGGGAATTCTTGTGTACAATGTTGGTGGTAATAGAAAATGACATGTTAAGTTGCTCAAAAAACTAAAAATAGAACTACCACATGATCTAGCAATCCCAGAGTAAATGTCCAAAGACTTGAACTAAATATATCAAATGATATCTGCCTTCCTATATGTGTTGCAGTACTGCATATAATATCCAAGATATGAATCAACCTAAGTATCCATCAAAAGATGAACAATTACAGAACATCTGCGACAACACAAATGAACACAGAGGACATTATGCTTAGTAAAATAAGACAAGGTCCTGAGTTCGATCCCCGGTACTGGGGGGAAAAAATCAAAATAAGACAGGAAAAGAAAGGTAAATACTGCGTGATATCACATGTAGAATCTAAAAAGCAGAACACAGAGATGCAGAGAAGAATGATTGTTAAGAGGGAGAGAGGGAATTATTGGTCAAAATTATAAAGTTTCAGAAGAAGGAAATCTTGAGGACAACTGAACAAGGTGACTATTATCAATAATATACTATATATTTTAAAATAACTAAGAAGAAATTTCACACATCTTGTCACAAAAAATAAGTGAGGTTACGGACATGTTAGCTGAACTTAAATATTCCTTCCACACTGTATATTTTAAAACATCACATTATACCTTATAAATGTGTACAAATATGATCATCAATGTAAAATAATATTGACATAAAATTTTTAAATTCTTGGAAAATAGCAATACTCATCTTGGCTACTCAAAAGATGCTAAACAATGTTATGCTTACACCAGCAAAGCAGACTGACTCTATTGATTCTCCTTGTAAAATCCTTTTTAAATACCTGAGATTTCTAAAAGTCTATAGTTTCTGACTTTCCCCAACTGTTTCGTACCTGTTAACCTCAAAATTGATTATTATTATTAATATCTAAAAATCAACAAACCTGAATAGAAATAAGTGAACGTAAATATAAACTTTTAACATTCACTTAATGCCCCCACATACACAATCAATAATTTTTTATCAACTACTTTTAAAAGCACAGAACTAGTGACAAAAAGCTAATTGGTGTTTATGCAGGAACTTCCAAAGCATTCTGAGGCACTAGAATCAATTCAGCATACTTCCCCACATCTTCTGTACCTTTAGTTCTTAATAATTCTCAAATTCATATTCCTAATAGCTTTTGAAATATTAAGAAAAATTTAAAAATCAGTTTATGAAAACTCACTAATAAATATTCATTACATTCTAATGTTGTGAGAATTCAAACTAATTGAAAAATCTCAGGCAAACAAATATCCTGGGCCCCTAATTTTGACATAAAAAGTTGATCTAGGTGGAAAGGTAGAAAGTTAAGTACTCTTGAGTGTACTTGACAAAGTATTTGCCAATTGTTATAGGAGAAACTCCTAACAGAGGCAAAGACGGAAGGAAAAAATGTTCACTTGGGCATTAAAGCGTGTGTGCGTGTGTGTGTGTGTGTGTGTGTGTGTATGCGAGCACACGTGCTAGATGTGTATTTCACCTTTGTATGAAACATTAAAAAAAAACGCACAAGTACATTCATACAATTTGCAAGCTTTATAAATAACTCACTTGTATTTATAATAGTACAAATTGAAACCAAAAAGTTAGCAATGAGAAATATATAACTGGGCCTGTCCTTTCAATTCACACTAACCTACTATCTTTCATAGGTTTCAAAGTTCAATGTACATATTGGTTTACTCAATTGAGTAATTTTTCCTTTTAGCTTAACTTTAATAAATAGGTGGTGTGGTTTATCATTTCTGAAAAGGTTTTGATAAAGATATATTTGACAAATGCAAAATTAAATTTCCATATAAATATTTACCATTGCTGTTATCATCTTCTATGTACTTAGCATCCTCACCTCCTTAAAAAAAAATACTAAAAATGGTATACTAGAGTTGGCTACAAAAAGAAAAGATGCATTACACGCTGGGCCATTAAAACAAAAAAGTACATAATTTTGAATAAGAGGTGGCTCTAACACCTGTTACATGATTTTAAACAAGCCATTTTAACTTTGTCAATCTGTTTCTCACCTCCTGGGTACAGATCATATCACCTATGCTGATATAAAAGAACCAATTACACAGTAGAATTCACTGCTTTCTGAGCACAGAAAATGCTTGCTGAACATGACTAACAGAAAGACAGGACTATCTTTCATAATGCAGCTCACAAATTAAGTCACATCTAAAAAGAAGTACCACACCACCAATTTTTTATAAACAATATTCAGCAAAAATTTTTATCTAAAATATTTTAGGTCTGTTTTTTTAAAATCCTTGTTTAAAAGAAAAAGGTAAAAGCTAAGGTTAAGCAAAGTCTTTTTCAAGTACTGACAATTTCTCGGTTTAAGTTTTAAAATCTACCAAGAGAAGCGAATACTAACTGCAAGGCAGCTCAGAAAAATGGTCAGTTTTCTGTACTGACAGTCAGGGGATGAGATTCCAGTTTCAACTATGTTATTAATGATTCACCTTAGACAAGACCCCAGGCTTCAATTTCATCTATAAAATAACTTACTCAAAACCACAGATGATAATCCAAGTACAATTTAATGGCCGGGAATTTAGCTCAGTGGTTCCGCTGCTTGCCTTGCAAACACAAGGTCCTGAGTTCGATCCCCGGTACCAAAAAACCAAACAATAAACCAAGTACAATTTAATCTAAGGCCTCACTTCGCAGCAGGAGCAGTTAACAGAATGGCAACCAAGGTAGGAATGTTGGTTCTACCAATTACAAACGTCTACAAGGTACACACACAAAGCACTGAAGTGCAGCTTACTATCATCATTGACTTATGTGTAAAATATTTCACTTAAATGCAAAATTACTTTAAAGCACAAAAGCTTGGGAAGTTCAGTCTTTCCAAATGAAGATATTAGCATTCTACTAGATACTATTTTCATCTGAAAGTATTAATACCCCCTTAAATTTTAAACCAAGTTTCATCAAAAGATCTCATAAAATATTATACATTAGAGACACCACTAAAAACTTGCAAAACTAAGTGTTCTCACCAAAATGTCACACTTAAGGTAAAAATAGAACTTTGGCTAAATGTTTTTTTGAACTACTACTAATGACCAACAGAAACTTATATACAGTCACAGTCTCTGACAATGAAATTAACTCCAGGAATGAAGTCTATGGAATCTGGAAATATAAAGTAAACTTCTCAGTACTCTAATTAAGTAGTAAGAATTACAATCGACCAATACAGATTTACCAAACACATCATCATATGCCAGACTATGTGCTTTGGTTAAGAGCAAACACCAACGTATCCTATGACATTTCTCAGTTAAGTTACAAGGACTCAGAAAGCCAAGCAATCTATCAACCCTTTTTACACAATAAAAGCCACTCATCTACAAATACTTTTATTTCCTTTTTGGTACATGTAGGACTACTTCCTACTGCCTATTAAAAGTGTTTCCTATCCCTAGTTCAGCCCACAAAGATACCCAAACCACTTGCTGACATCAAGATCTTCACAATACTTAGAGCAAAAGCTTCTAAGAAAGTATTTTACCAAATCCACAAGCTTCAGTATCTTTGGTTCTACGATGCCCACTCCTGCACATACCACTATACTTAACTGTGCTAACTTTTGGGTCAAGTACCCGGTTACAGCAATTTAGTTCTTCCCCTTACAGTACTTCTAGTGAAGGCAAATTACTTCTTCAAAAAGTCTGGTTTTTGCAAGGGACAGTAGGGACCAGAAAAGAGAAACTGATTGGCTTGTCATTGCTGCCCTACTTCCATTTCAGGTCCAAGGAGAAAAGTGTTCCACAGAGAGCAGCAAAGGGGCCAGACACAAATCAAGAAGGTAGATGCTAAACTAAACTTTTAAGCGATTTAAGCGAAAGGTGACAGAACGTGGGGGAGGGGATAACACCGAGCTATGCAAGTGAAGCTTCAGGGGAAAGGTCCACTCCACGAAGCAAAGGAGGGAGTGGAGAACAAACCGGTCTGGCCGAGCGACAAACCCTGGATGCTGACCGAGCCAGGAGGGGTAGGGCCCCGGAGCTCGCGAAGTGAGACCTCGGGCAAACCGCAGGGGTGCAGCAATGGGCAGAAAGGAGGAGGGGCGGCACGGGCACACAGCAGAGTGTAAGGGGACACCGGAAGGAACGATGAGTTGGGAGGCACCGACAGCAGGCGGGAGCCCAGCGCCAGGGCGACTGGCGAGTGGCAACTGCGAAAAGCGAGGCACGGGAGCCGGAGGTGGTGGGACTCTGTTGACTCAGCACAGCTCCTACACTGAGGGCACTTGTAAGATCCCCGCAGCTCCTCGGGCCCTAAAACCCGCGGCGGAGAGTCGAGCCCACCGGCCAGAGAGATAGTGGTCTCTGACGGGCTGGCGACGGCCCCCTTCCCATTTCACAGGTAAATACTGGCCGCCGTCGCCGCTTACCTCTGTTAACATTATTACACCTCGGGGAAGTGAGGTCCTCCCTACCCTCGCCGCATGGCAACAGCCGTAGCAGCAGCGAAAACTGCCCGGGCCGCCGCCAACGGCGGCAACTGCTCCTTCAGTCTCCTCCCGGGCGGCGGCTTTACTCGGCTTCGCTGGCTTCCCCCCGGCCCGGCTGCTCGCGACGGGCGCGCCGCCATCTTGGATGAGCGACGTCCGCGTCTCCCCGCGACGTGCGCCCCCATTGGCAGGCGCGGGAGCCGACGGCGTCTCGTGACCGTCTCCATAGCGCCGGCGCGCGGAGAAGCGGAGGCGGGCACTGGCCCTCCCACTGGGCGCCGGGGCCGACGACCCAGGGGCTGGGCGCTCCGGCCAAGTTGGGGCCGCTGGGAGTGAGGAGAAGCCCGGCCGCCGGGGTCGCGCGGGGTCCGGCGCGCGGTGCCGCGGAGGTCGCTCGTCGTTCTCCACACGCCGGGCTTCGCCATCCCTGGGGAGGAGCGACGCTGGCCGAGCTCGGGACTTGGACTGATGGCGCTGCGGACCGCGGGCGTCTCGGCGGCGAGCAGGCAGATTCCCAGCAGGGCAGACTTGCATCTCGCGTCTGCCTGGGCCCGCGGCGACCGAAGAGCTCGCGGGGTAGTCGGCTCTTTCGCCGCCTGGCCTCCGAGGGTGATCTGAAACCGCTCCTCTCGCAGTCCTTCTGTCCGAAACTTGGACAGAAACTTTCCTTTGTCTCTGGCAGTTCTCAGTGAGTTCTCCACAGAGGTGCGAGACAGGTCGTAGATGTGATACGGGCGTATCGGCTTTACCCTGATCCTGGCTCTGCGAGTGAGGACGCTGCTGATTAGGTGACTCACCGGCATAGAGTAGTAACCACAAGGGTTAAGTTTTCTACATATGAGAGACCTTTCAAATAAATCAATGCAGGTCTTGTTTTTTTAACTGCTGTCCCCACGGCTTTTACTTATGGTGTGTTTGTGTATCACACTGAGCAAATTTCAGCGATTCTGTAAATAGTTTTTAAATGGGACCACACTGGAACTCCGGGGTGCTCAGAAGCCCCTGAGACTGATACCATTCTCATCCTACCACGAGAGATGTGTTAGAGTGTGTGGAATTAGAGACACTCGTTTCTTTCTGAATCAGAATGAAGTGCCTGACCTCAACATACTGTCAAATTCTGGGTAGTCTGTTTTATGTTAGAACCCAGTTTCCAAAGAAATTGAGAAGTAAATTTTCAGACATAACAAGCAAAATGCTTCCATCTCATTCGTACAAAAGCATTTTGAAAAACTACAGTCAGTAGTTCCTTCTTTCCCTTTACTGGAACCTTTTTCCCTCCACAAAACCGCTATTGTGTTAGGGCCACGATTTAGCTCAGCGGTTCTGCCACCTGCCCTAAAAGTGCAAGGATCCGAGTTCGATCCCCGGTACCAAAACAAAAAAACCACTGTTGTGCTAAGTGTAATTTACTTAATATGTTACTCTTAAATTCTCAAAACAGAGCAAAGCATTATGTATTTCCTATTCTATGTGTCCCCATAAAGAAAACAAAATGGTTCATTTAAGCAGATCTGCCAGAATTAAATAAAAATCCTAACTTGCTCCATTCAACTAATTGTAGCCAAGTAGTTTTTGTTGTTTTGATCCATGTTTTTGCACATAATTTCCACGTTGCTGAACCAGCAAAACTCTCACCTCTGTAATACAATAAAATATATTACTGGTATTGAAAGATCAGGCCATAAATAGGAAATAAGACTGGAAAATAAAACCTGGACTGAGGTATTAAGGGAAACCAAGAGACACTAGAGACAGGAAGGAACTTGGAAAAAGATACTGTTCCAACCTGTAAATAAGAAAACGGAGAAAGAGGTTCATTAATATTTAAGTTACCGACTAGTGAACTAAAACTGTAATTTAGGTGTCTGGCTTGAGTATTCAATTTTATTTTCTACATCTTTTTGACTTGCCAGAAGCAAGACATTTTCACTTAAGGGGATAAATTAGTTGTAGACACAACTCTGAGATTTGAACCAACCTGTGATATGACCTGGATATGCTTTTAACAATCAGAAGTTTGTCTGTAGACCTAGGAACAAACCGAAATTGCTAGTTCTTCTACTAGCTTTCCCAGTTTCCTTGGCCAGAGTCCTTTCTTCCACTTAAAATTCCTACGGTGGCTGGCTTCCCAAGTCTTACCCTACACCCCACCTCTCTGACCTTATTTCCCTTAAATAGTTTGTTCCAGCTAGCCAGGCCTGCCCCCACCCCACTCCGTTCCTATAACACCATGGCACCCTCTGGCTCTGGTGCCTTTGCCCTACCTGGAAGGATCTTGCCACCAAATACCTGCAGGAAACCTACCCTACCAATCCCATTTAAAATATTACCCTCCCCTAATCATCTGCCCATCTTTGCCTCAGATTTTTCCATAGCAGTTAGACCTTCTGACATAAGAACTTATTTTTCTTATTATCTGTCTTCTTTTTTTTTTTCTTTCAGTACCAGGGATCGAACTGGGGTCCTTGCGCTTGCAAGGCAGGCAGCAGAACCACTGAGCTAAATCCCCAGCCCTATCTGTCTTCTAATGGAATATAAGATTCATGAAGAGGTCAGGGATTTTTCTGCCTTGTTCAGTGATGTTTCCTTAGTGCCTAAAATAGATACTCAAGAAATATTCTTTTAAATGAATGGATGAATAATTTCCTAAAAGACTCCACAGAAAGGACTTGTTAAAACTAATTTAAAACAACCCAGTTGGACATAGTGTTGCATGCCTATAATCCCAGCACTCACGAGATAATCATACGAGTTTAAGGCTAGCCTGGGCTACATAGTGAGACCCGGCTTTTAAAAAAAAAAAAAGAAGAGGAAAGAAAAAAAGAAACTTTTGTGTTGAAAGAGTAAATTACTCAAACTTTGGACATCCTGTGTTATCTTGCAACTATGGGAACATCACTTCTGCCACTACAATGCCACAGACAAAGTCTGTGACAGAATTGCCTTCCTCTTCACCTTCACAAGACCATGTTGGACATGAATCAAAGTTTATTTGCTAGCAAGGGAAGCAAAGTGAGTAAAGTACGCTATTTCTGAGAGTTACAGAAATTGAGTGATATAAAGAGAATGCTTATATCAGCAGCTATCTTTTAAAAAACAAAAATAAGCACCTACTTTGGTACTGATTGCAATTCCATTCCATGTGATCTTAAAAACATCCTATCCATATCAGTTGTTATAAAGGAAACCAGGGACAGGATGATCTGAGATGCTGGATCCTTTGGCTCTCAGTAAGAAATTTAAAACAAAACAAGCTCTTTAAGTGTATGATAAGGAGATATGTGGGGCTGTTATTGCAAAAGATTTGATTCCCCAACAGCAGTGTCCAGTCTGATTGATACTGTAAGTCAAAAAGAGGTAAGAAGCAAAAATCAACTGTGAATTACTTTCAAACAAGCCACTGCCAATAATTTTTAAACCTCCAAGTGAAGACTGTGAATATCCAGGTTGTCTACTCTTTTTAGTTTTGAAACAAAAGCAATTTCTCCTACATATTCAGATTGTCACAAATTGGCTCTATTTCATTTCTGACTAGAAAAGTATGGCATTAACTCCCCAAGCAAAATGCATCTATCAAACAGTTGTCATATTTCAATCTTTTGGTATTGACCATTTTTAGTTCTATTTTTAATTGACATAATTGTACAAAGTTATACTGTATAATCAGATAAAACAATTAGCACACTTACCACCCCAAACATCTTTACTTTGCAGTGAAACATTCAAAATCCTCTTCTGGCTCATGTGAGGTATATACATTTTTTTAATTAAACCGCTTTATTAACTTCAGTTTCCTCCTTTCCTTTTATCTTTCTTTTTTTTTTGTACTGGTGATCAAACTCAGGACCTTAAGCTTGCTAGGCAGGTGCTGTGCCGCTGAGCTATATGCCTGGCCCTCCAGTTTCTTCATAATGCAAAATTACTAGTGTCATCTACCACCTCTCCTGAACATTAAATACTAGTATACATTCATTAACATAGTCTAGGGTTAAAGACCACAAATCAGCTTTGCACAGTGGCAGTATCGTAGCCAGTGAAGTCTATCCGAGCCAAGATTATTGCTAATTGAAAGATTGCAAATCCACATTGAAATAATGCATTAGCAACAGAGGAGTCACAATCAAAGGACAACACCACGATACCCTCATTCTTCTATATTTAGTAGGACAATCGTAAGCACACATCTTGGGGCATTTAAGGGCTCTCCAGTGTAGCTTCGAATAACCCCACAAGAGGTTTTTTTCTTGCAGGGTGATTTTTGAAGAAATGTTGAGCAACTCAAGACCAAGAGAGAGGCAGAAATAATATTGCCTGGAGCTCTGCTAACAGCAGATGCAGTCTTAAAATGATAATGTTCACAAGCCTCTTCAATAATCTACAAATGATACAAATATCTAAATAGAACTATATTATGAATATATGACAGTTTATGGTATACAGTGGACCCTTGACTGACGGACTCGACTGGGTCTTGAGGGTCAGTTGTAAATAAGTCAATAGAGCCGAGATCCGGATGTTTACCTGGGTACACGCTGTAGATAACAAGAGCCAGATGAATCTTCCATTAACCTAATTAACCCAAGTTTGTATATCAGGCCAGTTGTAACTTGAAGGTCCACTGTATTACTGTATTCAGATGTATTACTAGGTCAGTGGCACCCCACTCAATAGTTTTCAAAAGAAATACCATTAAATTACAAAAATTAGATCTAGTCACTTTTTCAAACATTTAATTCTTGATTATGGATACTGTTTTTCAATTATGGGCCAGCCACTGTGGTAGATATTTTGTGTGTATTTAAAATATTTAAAAGGCCATCGCTGTAGATTGTATTATCCTTAGATAATAAGATCATAAGAGGTGTAGTAACGTGCCCTAGACTACTTACAAGGATATATGCTATCTGTCATTGCTTTTGTTCTTTGCTTTGTTCTCTTTGCAGTACTGGGACTGAACCTAGGGCCTTGTACAGGCAAGTGCTGTACCATTGAGCTACATCCCTATCCCTTTTTATTTTGAAAAGGAGTCTCACTAAGTTGTCCAGGCTGGCTTCAAAAGTGAAATCCTCTTGATTCATCTTCCAGAGTAGCTGGGATTATAGGTTTGTACCACCACACCTGGCTATCTATCACTGCTCGTGTTGACCTTTCAACACCTGACTATAATCATGTTTTTCAAGTTTCATGACTGTAATGTTGCTCTTTTCCCCTACTACTCCTTGGAAGGAAGTCACTATGTGCAGCCCCCAGTTAGAAAATGGGAATTTATGCTACTCTTCAGGATGAAATGTATGAATAAATAATTCGAAGTTATTTTGCATAGGAGATTTCTCTCTTCTCCATTTGTATTATTTAGTAATTTATTTATATGAGTATGAACTCATAAATATTTTTTACATTGAGTTATAACTCAGTACTAGTTTGGTTATAATTGTCCCAGCTTTGGTCACTGGAGCTCTGTCAGTTGTTCTATGTTCCTTTAATATATTCCCGTCAATGTGGGATAGTTTCTTATTTTTGTTGTTGAGCATTTATTTCCTTCTGGTAATAAAAGAACCTCCAGGTTTATCATGCCCCAGGCCTAAAATCAGCCATTTCTCTAAGAAACCTTGGTTCCTTTTTTTTTTTGACACCAGGGATCGAATTTGGGACCTTGTGCTTTCAAGGCAGGCAGCACCACTGAGCTAACTCCCCGGCCCCCTTGGTTCCTTTTATTGGAGATTGGTATTAGAAACCAAGA